TGTACGCTTGCTTCTCTTACGGTTGCTCTGACGGATATTGTAGCTGACGACTATTCGGATGCAGGAAAGCTGTCGTCGATACGGAGGACTGTTATTATTCACCCCTTGACACCCAATTTTTTCGCCGCCGCCTTGAACAACTCAATCAGTCATCCTCGAGAAGGATGACTGATTCCATCGCAAACTCCGCTCGCACGTTTTTGCGACCATTCTCCTGCGGCCAATGACTTGCGTGCCTCGATACTAGCAACCGAGCGCAGTGCAACTGGGTGCCCGAGCACCGAGCGGTGTCATGCTTTGTGGCGAGACGCTGCGTTGGAGCTCGCCCCCGGCTTGGGTTACTCCCTCCTTGGTCGTCGTTACTCCACCAGGTGTTTGTGGAGGCTCACTGAGGAGGCTCGTCGGCGGCGAGTCGCCACCAGGGTGGGTTGTCAGGGTCTTCGGAGGTCATCCAGCGGGACCAGGAGTCCAGGAACGCGTCCCACCAGAGGTCGTCCGGGTGTGCGAGTAGTGACGGCCCTGGATCGCGGAAGCGGATACGATATGTGTTCCCGTTGTCGGAGACCTCTCGCCAAATTCGTGTAGGTACGTCGTGGACTTCCTTCGCGTGGTGAATCTTGCATCCCAGCTCGGCTAGTAGGTCGTGGCGTAGGAGCAATAGCGATCGGTGCGTCTTCGCGGCCTCCAGTAACCTCTGCCGAACCGGCTCTATGTCCCCTGCGTAGCCCTTAGGCGCATCCCGAGCTTGGTCCACCCAAGAAAGCTCGCCATCTCTAATTAAAACTCTGTAACTCTCTTCGTCACGGCTGCGAACCAGTAACTTGAACAACGTCGCGGGATCTTCCTTCACAACCACTCCTTCCTCCATCCCTTCCTCCGTTCGAATAAAGACGACAGCCAAAGCCACCGAGACAACCTCGCACCCGTTACTCTTCACGGCTCTTGTCATCGACCTGATATTTTGCCACAAAAAATTGGAACCGCGACGTTGTTACCTCCGTGTGGCGATGGAAATAAAATTCCTCGTAAGTATCCATCTCCCCCTCCTTATCGGAACCACTTAAGCCACCTCCTCTGAACCTCATGAAGCGGCTACCTGAGCAATGAAGCGGCTACCAGACGTCACGGCGCCGCTAATCGACCTATTCGATTCACGAGCTATTCGACCTGCTGGAGAAGGACAAAACCTGCCAGTGGCGGGACGTCCCCCGCCCAGTTGTGCATACGGTTGGTCATAAACAAGACCTCTCACGAAGACTGGACCCCACAGGGAGACCCACCGACTGACCTACATAAGTAATGGTAAGCTCGCCTCAGAAACCGACCGTTAGAGGAAGACCCGGCCTACACCAGGAGGTATCGTCGACCCAGGCTCGTCGAGCCCAAATGGTCACCCCCCATGAAGGTGGTAAACACAACCCGCACACAACCCGCACACAAGTCGAGGTGGAAAGATACGACCAGCCAGGCTCAACGTTTCAGGCACAGCTGGGCACTTCCTGGGCATAGCGGAAACACGAGGGGTGTGAGCCGTTTATGTCCAAGGACATAACGATCTCCAAAGGAATTTGTTATCCATAACTCATCCCCGCGACTGATACCCACAAATGGCCATCACGGCCATTAACAGCGATGCCGAGCCAGGGGTGTTACGACGGAAGCACCTAGTGTCCGCTCGGTTGTACAGGAAGGTTGGGACGGCACTCGGTGTCGGAGATTGAGTCGAATCTCGTCCGGAGAGGTCTGAGGGGATACGGGTGAGAGAGTGAGCGGAGTTCCGAAGTGGTCGCCTCGAGGTGGGCGGTGTGGCGCTCCGTCCTTGCTCCCGTCGAGGTGTGCCCGGATCTATCGTGAGGCTCGGGCCGAGAGCAAGGCACTCGAATCGAACACACCCCTCGGATCGAGGGGTGTATATTATTTTTTGTATGCCCACTTCACCTTAGCACCCCGTTCGAATCAGCTCAACCCTCAAAACCATCCGTCGTCACGGGCCAGTCTTCAGTCCAACGACGGAGAAACCATTTTCGATCGCAGCACCTTGTAGACAAGAAAGGAGCCCTCATCAAAGACCTGGGTGGCGGCGTCACCTTCAATGAGTCTGGACTAGGAGCTGAACTACTACGGCCTAGACTAGTGCGGTCCCTGTCCGGCCTATACCCCACTACCGCGGCAAGGCGACACATTACACTTGCCAAAGACACTTACTGCGACATAGACTGCTGCGACCTATATAGAGACTACGATCCAGACGACTACGACTTAAACTACGACCTGGGCTGTGGTCTAGACCTACGACCTCTAGACCACACGACCTCTAGACCACACGACCTCTAGACCACACGGCCTCTGAACCATACGCGCTAGACTGTGACCTATGGAGCGGGCCGAAGAACTTGTATATGTACGGCTCCGACACTGAGGTTTCGGCGAACATGACCTCGTCGGCTGTCCTAGCCGGTCGTGGCCGTAACTGTTGTAGTGCCTATCTGTGTGCGTCTGAGTGTTGGATGAACGGAATAAAAAATAATAGCAAATGCTAGGGTCTGTAGCCGTAAGACGACAGGATGCGAGGGGCATCGGCGTGGTGGTAGGAGCGTGCTTTCGTTACGAGACCGACCCTGACGACGAAATCCTTTTGGCCGAAGCGCCGCCAATACCGCCGCGAGTACCGCCGCGAGGAGTGCGGCGAGTACCGCAGCGAGCAGTGCGGCAACGGCGATCCGTTCGGATAAGTATGGTTGGCGATTGCGTTGACAATTCGAGTCAGGAAAGCCTCTCCGGCCAGAGTCTCCCCGGCCAGAGCTCTGCGGGTCGAAGGACCCCGGGTGAGGGCCGAGGGACCCCTGGTCGACTGGCTGCCCAGGCCCGAGCCATCCCGGGTCAGAGTCTGTTTTCTGTACACACGCCCGGCAGCCTCGTCGCGATCGCCGCTGGGCCCAGTCTCAATTCGGTCGGTAGTGGAGCGGTAGGGGCCGGTGAGAGTCAACGTTCCCTCGCGGATGGCCAGAGTCAACGTTCCCTCGCGGATGGCCAGAGTCAACGTTCGCTCGCGGGTGGCCGGAGTCAACGTTCCCTCGCGGGTGGCCGGAGTCAACGTTCCCTCGGCGTTGGCCAGAGTCAACGTTCCCTCGGCGTTGGCCAGAGTCGTCTCTCGTTGGTCCCGAGCGAGGGCGAGGTTTCTCCTGCCCCCAGCGAGTATGCCCTTTCTGCTGCACCCAGCGAAAGCATTCTATCAGCTGCAGAGGACGACTACGTCCTTTCGGCTCCAGAGGACGAGTACGTCCCTTCTGATGCAGAGGACGAGTACGTCCCTTCTGATGCAGAGGACGAGTACGTCCCTTCGGCTGCAGAGGACGAGTACGCCCCTTCGGCTGCAGAGGACGAATACGTCCCTTCGGCTGCAGAGGACGAGTACGTTCTTTCGGCCGCGGAGAGCGAGTATGCCCTCTCGGCTGCCCCCAGCGAGAGCGTCCTTTCCACCGGTCGTAGCGAAAGTATCCTTTCTGCCGCCCGCAGCGTCAGCTTGCGTTCGCTCGTTGAGAGTTACGGATCGGACGACAGCGTGTCGGACGCCACTCAAAGTGTGGTGGTGACTGAGGCCGGGAGCGCCACGACGCTCGCCGGATACGCTGGAAGTGTGCACGGGTCCGAGCACCGAAGCGGTCGTGGATCGGAGCACCGAAGTGGTCGTGGATCGGATCACCGAAGTGGTCGCGGATCGGAGCACCGAAGTGGTCGTGGATCGGAGCCCCGAAGTGGCCGTGGATCCGAGCCCCGAAGTGGTCGAGGATCCGAGCACCGAAGTGGTCGAGGATCCGAGACCCAGAGTGGACGTGGCAAGATTGTGCGCGCGGACTGGAGTAACTGTCTGACGTATGAGATGATCGTCAACACTGGCCCCCTGCGGAAGCCGCCCACGATGCCGAAGCCTGAAGGGACAGTGAAGCGCGGAATTTCAACGAGTGAAGCCAGGGGGGGCACTTCGACGGGAGGTGCCGTGGAGCACGGAAGTATGAAGCCGGAGACGCGGAAGCCGAAGACGCGGACGGCAGGGCCAATTGCGACCCCGGTTGCGAAGCCGTCGTCGCTGAACCCATTTGGGGACTACCCGTCTGATTATGAGTCAGAGGAGGAGGTAGGAGCGTCGTCGCTGAACCCGTTTGGGGACTACCCGTCCGATTACGAGTCAGGGAAGGAGGCAGGAGCGTCGTCGCTGAACCCGTTTGGGGACGGTACTGATGACGAGGCGGACCCTTCCCTGGAGACCCCGTTGGATGACGACGATGACGACTTGTTCCCTCAAGTGCGTCTGCGGTACATGTTGGCTCCAGAGGACATCCCCCCGCGTTGGTTACAGAGAGGTACAGGGCCGCACACTGATAACTTGGTCTGGGTCGTGCCTCGGGCTCGTTGGTTCAGGTTGGAAACGTTGGACGGGTTGCCACCGCCGGTGACGAATCATCGGTTCAGTGAGTTCTTTAAAGGACTGATTCAAGTCAATGCTCGTGAATTGGACAGTTTGCATCCACACCAGATTGGCGTGGAGCCGGTGATGCAGGTGGCATACGAAATACTTGAGCTGTATTTGGACGACCCAGGTGTGCAAGACTTCCTCACGCAGTACGAGGCCGAACTGCAACGGGACATTGACGTCGAACGCAACCGCCCTGGTTGCTTCGACTTACAATGCCTCGACTACTACGAAGCTCAAGCTGCTTACGAACGATTTCTCGCCCAGTATGCTGATCGCCAGGCCGATGCTGGTCCTCCCCCCGAAGATGACCAAGAAGAAGTGTCCCTTCGCCGGGAAGAACCTGCCAACGGAGATGCGCGGTCTAGGAGTCCAGGCCCCGTTCCGCGAGACTACGTGAACAGCTCTGACTGGCAGTCCGTCGTACAAGGGGCCGTCGGCCAGCACCAGGAGTACATCAATGCACAGGAGTACATCAATGCACAGGAGTACATCAATGCACAGGAGTACACCAATGCACAGGAGTACATCAATGCACAGGAGTACGTCAACCAAGCCGAATTGAGAATGATTATGGGATCGCGCGAGCACACCAACCAAACCGATTTGAAGCCAAAACCCTTCGACCTGAAACCTGTGGACTGGGAATCTGTCGAGCGTCGGCAGCCCACGGAGTACCCGGGGTCACTCCATCGACGACGACGACCAATCCCCACGCCAAGGCTGTCCCGACGAGTTACGTCCGAAATCCCGGACGAGGTGCCAGTGATCGACTCGGCCACCTTGCCCAGACGCGGCGAATGCTCTGAGCCACCTGCTCGGCCGCCACCTTTCCGACCGCCCCCGCCGAAATTTCCGCCGGGGTACGGACGCGAGAGTTATCAATCAGGCTACGGACGCGAGAGCGGCTACGGACGCGAGAGCGGCTACGGACGCGAGAGCCACCAATCAGGCTACGGACGCGAGAGCCACCAATCAGGCTACGGACGCGAGAGCTACCAATCACGCTACGGACGCGAAAGCTACCAATCACGTTACGGACGCGAAAGCCACCAAACAGGCTATGGACGCGAGAGCCACCAATCAGGCTACGGGTTCGAATCCGGGCATCCCTTCCAGCACGGATATTCCTTCCAACCTCACCCTTCGTACGAACCGGCCGGCCTCCGGGGTTCCCGAGCAGGTGCGCAGAGACCTCTCTCCATCGCACAAACCCCTCTAGCCAATCTCATGGGACCCCCCAAACCGGCTCGCCGGCTGGGGCCCAAAAGGTCCTTCCGCGAGCGTTTTGCTCGGAAAGCCTCCAGCGTCCGCGAAGCCTGCCTCAGGTTCAAGATGCTTCACTTCGACGGCATCAAGCTTCGGGGAAACAAATAGCCGTGGGCTGCATTTTTGACTGGACCATCATTTCCTACGCCTGACTTGGTCCGCGCCGGGCAGCACACAACACCACGTGCACGCCTGTGCGTCGCACAAGCCTGTGCGTCGCACTTTACGACGTGTGTGTTACCGTCACGAGCCGGCGACGTCGCTGGCCTGCCGGTGTTGCCCTTGTGGTGCTGCGCGAATATCCGGAGGGCGAATATCAAATATGTTGAGCTCTGTGGCGCGGCGAGGAGGGCGGCGTGCGGACTCCAAGGTGCAGGCGGTACTGGGGTCGCTGTTTGCGGTGGCGGAGGGTGCCGTGGTGCGCGTGGATTGCAGCGAGCCGGCGGTATTCCGAGCGGAAGTAGAGTTGTCGGCTTCGCATGTGACTTTACTTTTCGCGGTTCCGGTGGGCAACTTGCCGGTGGATGACTTGACCACTGAGTTGGGCTCACAGCTGCGGGATAGTTTCTGGATTGCACGGGAGGCATTCCGCTTTCAGTTAGATGACGATGTGCCGCTTGCGGCCGGTGCTGTGGCAGAGGCGGGGCAGTTAGCAGAGCGCATCATTTTCGAGAACCTTAGTCTATTGGATGTGCGTGCCGCAGGTGTCGCCACACAGCAGCTCACTGACGTTGCCCGCGAGTTCTTCGCCCCCCACCTGCAAGATCCCCTGGTCCAGGCCTGGCTCCGTGGGTTTGACGCCCGGCTCCGCCGCCAGGGCTTCCGCCAAGACCCACACTGCACAGGCTCCGCAGACTCCCTTGGCACCTCGCTCGGAGACGTCCGTGCCGAACGAGAGCTCGTCCAACCACCCCTGCAACAACCTATTCAGCAACCGCCTATTCAGCAACCGGTAGTAGTTCAGCATCCGCCCTTCCAACGGCAGATGCTGAGCCAGCGAGAGAGCCTGCGCGATCGGCCCCGGATGTACGTCGATATGAATGCCTGGGAGGAAGCCCTCGTTTTGGAGCGCGACCCACGAGGTTACAACGACTTTTCGTTCGAGGAGGTCGAAGAGGGCGTACCCGTCTGGGTGACCGAGCAGATTACAGAGCCGATTTTTATGGCCGAAGAGGAGCGAGGGGAGTATGATCAAGGTAAAGAAGAGGTAGCAGACAAGCGGGCAGAAGAGAAGCGGGCAGAAGAGAAGCGGGCAGAAGAGAAGAGGGCAGTAGAGGAGAGGGCAGAAGAGAAGCGGGCAGAAGAGAAGCGGGCAGAAGAGAAGAGGGAGTCAGAGAGAGAGTCACAGAGAGAGACCGTGCTTAAAGAGAAGAATGAGGAGGATGATTCGTCGCCGTTATTGCGACGCCGCGATGGCTTGGCGGGACGCCAGAGTCGGGTTGCGGGGTCGCTGTCGCGGCACAGCCAGTCGTCGTTCGACCTTTCGAACCTGCACCTGGAGTGGGAACACGGGGAGCACGAGATAGTGGGCGATGGCTCGGACGAGTATGGGGACACGTATTTGGAGGGAGAAGAGTACGTGGAGGAGGAGGAGGAGGAGTTCGTGGAGGAGGAGGAGTTGGAGTCGGATGAGTACTCAGAAACAGGGTCGGGGGATAATTCGGAATCGTATTCGGGGTCGGAGTCGCAAATAAGTTCGTCGAAACGGGAGCTAAGCGGGACGGTCAAGTACTTGACGCTGATGTTGGCGGAGTGGTCGGAGTTAAGTCAACGGCGCATGGTAAATAACCTGGGAGAACCGCTACTGGAACTGCAAAGGCTACTGAGTCGGGCGGAAGCTCTGGATGTAAAGGCCGAACTTTTGGAGCATCGAGGAACTCTCTGGGCGACCGCCTCAGCCGAAGCCCGCCAGGCCGAAGCCCAAGATCGTCGAGACGCCGAACAACAAGTTACAGCCGCTCGCCAGATCCTGGTCACACGCGTCGGCGAACTGCATCGACATGTCCTCCAACTTATCGCCGACCGAAAGGCGCCGCTCTTCCGTGTCCAACATGTGCAGCTGGTCGAACGCTTCCCACCCCCCACCCCGCAACCCAATTAACTCCCCCCCCCCTCCCCGCCCTTTGGGGATGGATATCCCCCTAATGATATTCCCCTGGGGATATCCCTTTGGGGGCGAATTACTTTTGAAAAATGTTAGGGTTTGTGTCGAGTGGTCGAGGACGTGCGAATGGTGTGTTGTTGGGTGCACTATTTAAGTCGGTGCGTGGGGGTGAGTGGCAGCGTGCCGATCTGGATGGTGCGGCATGGTATAGTGCGCGTATAGTGCGTGAGAAGGAGCATGTTGATCAGTGGAGGACACTGGGCGACAGTTTTTGTTACCGCGACCCGGGAGAGTTGAATCACATATCGTTGATGTTTGCTGTGGACCCGTTGGTGGCAGAGGATGAGTTGTGGACTAGTGCAGGAATAGCTGCGCATGGTCGTTTCTTTCAATTGGTGAATGCGCGCCCTTGCACACGCGTGTGCGGCTGCTCTCTGGACATGACCGACGGCGCTGTGGGTGACTTGGTGGAAGACGTGGTGTTTGCGAGTTTGGAGTCGCAGAGTCTAAGACCGGAACAAATCTTTGTGCCCGCTCTGGTCACGATTGCGCGGGAGTTTCTTGCCCAACATCTTCACAGCCCCCAAGTACGAGAATGGCTGCGCAACTTCGAACGGAGACTCTGGAAAGACCGATTGCGGCGATGGCGCGCCGCGGCGCCGCAGCCAGAGCCGACGCCGGCCACGGGGACGGCCGTATGGTACGAACTTGTCCTCACTCGAGGTCTGGCGGACAGTGTGCAAGGCATGGTCCAAAGCCTGCGTAGCTTGAGCCAGGATCGGGCTATGACTGTGATGCACCGCCTTCTGACATTAACGAAGGACGAAATTACCACCGATCCGATGAGGACTGTTAACGTGCCACTCGCACACTACGAAGAACTCGCCGATGCACTGGACGAACTTTCTCGAGCACGCGACTGCATTCACAAACATCAACATCAACTCCTTGACGAACTGTATGTCGGTGAAGACACCGCCCGTCAGCGACTCATCCTTCAACGACAAGCACTCATAGAAACCGTCGAGGCTGCTAACCAACGCGCACTTCGAGCCATTCGCAATCAACCACCTGCACCGCTTTTCAGAGTGCGCCAAATCGAGCAAATAGACCCACGACATAATCTGGTCATCCCATCACCCGACGACTCTATGCCAGCAAGACGCCAATCAATCTGAGACCAACTTACCAGACCCTATCGCTTCCTACTGCACCGCATCCAATACACAACGTATTGCCTCCCAGGCGTCAAAAGAAAAGACCGACAACAGAAACGACCGACAAACCGATTACCCGTTCGCGCACATGAGGATTACCGCTTTTTCTAACTACCGACCACTTCTACACCGTTGTTGTTCCGCCAATCGGCTATATGCGCACCCTCATACACCAACTACCATACAACAGCTTACCACATACCCACCAGCCAGCCGCATACCCAACAGCCAGCCACATACCCTCCAGCCAGCCACATACCCACCAGCCAGCCACATACCCACCAGCCAGCCACATACCCACCAGCCAGCCACATACCCACCAGCCAGCCACATACCCACCAGTCAGCCGCATACCCACCAGCCAGCCGCATACCCACCAGCCAGCCACATACTACCACATGCCCACCACCATATACCCAATAGCAGGTTTTGTTATGCGCCTGCTTCTCTGGACCCACCCACACATCCCTCCTGCTTCGTTAAGGGACGGCAAAAAAAAAATTTCGGTGGAAAATGCTCGGTCCGTTGGCAGCGCGATCAGAGAGGTCTAGCGGTCCGTTGGCGGTAGCTTTGGCGAACTGTTTCCAATTGGCGGGAGAAAGCGAGACGGTGGTTCGGAGTGTATGTGATAGGGCGTTGTATTATGAAGCGGCAATTGTGAGAGAAGATTTGTTGCCGCGAAATCCGTTTGAAGATTTCCGGTTAGTATTCGGAGTACCAGAAGAAGAGGTGAAGCCGAATAGATTGTCTAACAGCTTCTGGGTGGCAGCTAATGGGTGTATGTATCAATTGGTGAATGTGTCAGAGACGAAAAGGAAAAAAAAGGCCCCGGATATGAGTGACCCTGCAGTGGGTGAGTTAATACAAGAGATTGTGTGCGCGAACCTGGATAAGATCGGCCGGAGGCCGTCGGATGTGCCTGTAAAGCTGGTTATGGGGCTTGTGGAGGAGATTTTGGGGCGGTTCCTGGACGACGAAGGTGTAAAGATCTGGCTAAGGCAATATGAAAACAAACTTGAGAAGGACCAGGCAAAACTCCGGAAGCCTGGCGACCGGACACCCAGTTGTTGGACGGGCAAGAACCAGACTGAGACTGACTTGGACGGCGTCTCATCCATGTCAGACATGCCAAAGATCAAGCACTTTGTTGAGATGATGATGGACAACTTACGGCAACTCAACGAGAACCAGGCCAAACGGATCAACGGTGAGTTGAAGCAAATCGTACATGCCGCCGAGCAGCTGACGCCGCCTACAGAACCGGTGTCACCTGAAAAGGAAGTGCTACTGCGCAGAACGTTTAGCCGAGTGAGAGAACGACGAAGTCGGGTCCTTACTCGGGACAACTCCCGTAGGTCGCTGTCCAAGAATTTCTTGGAGCTGAGCGGTCTATTACCCGTTGCAGAACAGTGGGATTTGCACCAAGCAGAGCTGCACACACGTGTGCGCGAAATAAAAGCGAGCCGAGATGGGTTCGACGCAGACGCGAAAGAACTCGCAGGCCGCATCGAGGATCTGGAACAGCGGTTAGCCAGCCTCGGCGCCCACGGAGAAACCCATCAAATGCTTCTCGAAGACGGGACCTTGAATCGCCGGCGGCTAAAGACAGAGCTCGACCGCCGTCTCCTGAACGCCAGAAAAGCCGCTTTAGAGCGGGAAGAAAGAGCGTTCGAAAAGCAGCGCGAACTGCACCGGCGGCGCCGCGACGAGTTGCTGCTCAAACTCGAGCTCTGGACCGAGGATATGGCCGACCAGCTCGGCACTGATCCCACCGAGCTTTTCCGCATACAAGAGGTCGTCCCTATATCCCCCGATAAGGCCATTTGTCCCGCGTCGGGGTCCACGACCAAGACGAATCGTAAGTGGACCTGGGCCTCTTGGCTGACTGCCAGGCTACTTCAAGCCGATGCTGGGAGAGGGTGAAAAGTTCAGCTACGAACCAAACGGATCTTTTTTTGTCACCCTGACATTTTTGCGTTAAGTTAAAAAGTTTGTGCAGATTGAATTATCCCGCTTGGATATAGGCATTGTTTGCGCCGAACTACTGTACTGCTGTGTATTACTGCTAAGTGTGTGCCTGAGTACTTGGCTGGTTGTTAAATACCCCCATTACTGATTGAGTATCCGGGTGCTAACATGGTGGGTGAGTCGTTGCGAGACCGTTTGATGGCGCTGGAGAGTGCTGGGGAGTTGTCTACATTAGTGCGACGTGTGCGTGTGCGCACGGTTGGCTGTGTGGCAGAGTTGGATGACCCGCGTGTGGCGTTAACGGCTCAGACGGCTCAGTTGTTGACAGCTCTTGGGCTCCGAGTATTGGTTGAGACGGGTGCGGGTGTGCAGTCGCATGTAACCGATGACCAGTACCGCGCTGCCGGTGCAAGTCTTGGCGATCGAGACCATGTCTTGGCACAGGCAGACGTCCTGTTGCAAATAAACCCGGCTCTTAACCCAGCCAGACGCGAACCGGAGACTGATGAACAAGATATCGAACGGTTGGAGAAACCACAGACCACCAGAATCGAAACCGAAACAAATGTCTGTGACTCCACTGCTCCCGGTTTAACCACCGCTGCCGGTTTAACCACCGCTGCCGGTGTAACCACCGCTGCCGGTGTAACCACCGCTGCCGGTTTAACGGGTGCGTTAAGGCCAGGTACGGTGTTGATATCGTTATTACAGCCAGCGCAGAACGCGGCGGTTGTGTCCGAGTTACGTGCCAAGGGGGTGTTGGCCTTCGCGCTGGACCAGGTTCCGCGTGGACCGCGCGCGGCGGCCTTCGATGTTGTCGGTAGTCTGGCTCAGATTGCGGGTTGCCGCGCAGTCGTGGAGGCCTCGCAGCATTTCGGCCGCTTTCTGGGCGGCCAGATGACGGCCGCTGGGCGCATCCCACCGGCCCTGGTTCTAGTTTTGGGAGCTGGAGCTGCGGGACTCGCCGCCGTCGAAACGGCAAAGAAAATGGGCGCCGTCGTGCGATGCTTCGACACACGTCTACACACCCGAGTAGCAGTCACCGCACTCGGCGCAGAATTCCTCAGCCTACCTGCGCCACACGAAGGTGCAGACCCCGCCACCTTCGTAGCCGCAGAAGAGGCACTCTTGCAAACCCAAACCGCCGAAGTAGACATAGTCGTCGCAGCCGCCGTTGTACCCGGTCGCTCGCCTCGCCTAATCTCACAACACATGGTCGACGCTATGCGCAGAGGCAGCGTCACCGTCGACCTCGCCGCTGCCGACGGGGGCAACATCGAAACCACCGTCCCCGACACCGTCTACCTCACGCCCAACGGCGTCACCTGCATCGGCTTTACTGATCTCACCACTCGCGCGCCCGCCCAGGCTTCTCAAGCTTTCGCTCGCAGTGCCGCCAAGTTCCTCCAGCATCTCCTACCCGCCCCCGTCTCGGGGGCGGCGGTCGCAGTGGAAGGCCGCGAGTTGGTCGTGGACTTTGCGGACCTGATCACGCGAGCGAGCGTCGTGACATGCGAG